GTGACTTATCAACATTTTGGCGATTTTAAGATCAGTTTCTATAGAAAATTTTTAATTCCGAGATCTGAGAAGTTTTCGGCAATTTTTTTTAAAACATCGTAACATTGATAAATTTCATTAAAATAATGGTAATATATTGAAATTATATATAAAAAATAACATTAAAATAAAACATTTTTATTTTTCGCTGTCATATTATAAAGTTTCATTTTGGCAACTTATTTTACAATATTTTGAATCTGAAAAATAAACAAGGTATAATGCTGTAAAACACAATTTACGAAACAGCTCTTAGCAAAAGCAAAATTAGCTATGTAATTAATTAAAATGTCTTCTTTTTAATTTATTCATAGTGAGAGTTTTTCCCATGTAATTGTCTCGGAGTATTTAGAATTCTCAGAATATGCATCAGTTTTCTATAAAATTAATTTTACACTTTTCCCTCCTCCCCCCCTTTTTTTTCCAAACTATTTCTAGCCTTTTGCTGTTACAGCATTGGTAGGGATAATATTTCTTTAGGATTTTAGACATTGCAGCTTGGAAAGTTTAGAAGGATTTGAAGGCAAGATTTATAGAGCCACGATTCTAGAAGATTGGATAAATATGTGACAAAATGAAAAATGTCTCCATGGTATCAACACGTAATGAATGTGCTTTAATTTGTGCTGTTGCAAGCAAATCAAATTTAAGGGGCCAAAGGCACACAAGTACCTTAAGAGCTGCAGTTAACACTTGGCATGCGGGCAATGTACTTTTACGTTTTTTGCAGTCTGTCACTGGAGCGCGGGTTACGTAAAAATACGTATGGCATGCGGGCAACGTATTTTTACGTTTTTTGCAGTCTGTCATTGGAGCGTGGGTCACGTAAAAATATGTATATAGTAGATTTGTGGTGGAGACCCGCTAACCGCCACAAATCTATTAAATATGTATAATTATATGTATGTGTGACATTATATGGGTGTTGTTTGCGTTGCTAGGCAACGCTTTACATTTTACTTTCAACAATTTATTATTGTCGAGTTACTTGGTCTTTTGTTATTTTGTCTTCAATCAAATTCTTAGCTCCAAAACGTACAAGTCGTGTTTTGTCAATTTGAAGCTTGATTTTTTATTATTGATTAAATAAATTGATAAAATGAACCGTTGTGACAAAGATAGTGATGAAGAAATATGCGCTGACATATTATCGGACTTTTTGTATGATAGTGATTCTGAAAGTCAAGATATCGAAGAAAGTGATGATGATGACATTATTCCACGTTCTCGAGTGTTCATGCGAAGAATTTCTAGTAGTTCTGAAACAGCTTCTGATGAAGAAGCAGATGAATGGTCATCGATTGACAATCTTCCAGACCTTGAAGAGTTTTTGGGTCATCCTGGGATAACTAACATGGCTAATGTTCCTGAATCCACAGCTGATGTAGTAAAGTTATTTATAGGCGATAACTTTTTTGCATATTTAGTCGCGGAATCAAACAGGTATTATTATCAAAATATGAATCAGTTCAAAATATCTCCCAAAAGCATGAAATCGAGAGATTACGGAGATGAAGAAAATTTTGGGGCTTATTATTTTCATGGGACAAGTTTGTAAAGACGCCCGAGACGATTATTGGTCAACTGATGTCTGCACAAGTACACCGTTTTTTTTTTTTTTTTTTTTTTTTTTTTTTTTTTTTTTTTTTTTTTCAAAAACCATGTCAAGGGATAGATTTCGCCAAATATGGAAGGCTTGGCATTTCAATAACAGCGAAGACATCATGGACAATTCTGATCGATTATTCAAAGTCAGGCCTGTACTAAATTATTTTGTTGAAAAATTCAATAACATTTACAAACCGAAACAACAAGTATCGTTAGATGAGGGCATAATACCGTGGAGAGGACGATTGTTTTTTAGAGTTTACAATGCTGGAAAAATTATAAAATATGGCATACTCATATGAATATTGTCTGAAAGTGACACTGGGTTATATTTGCAATTTTGAAGTTTATGCAGCTCAAGGATTATGTTTGGTTAAAACGATGCAGTAGTTTCGCCATATAGTGATGTCTGGCACCATTTGTACATGGACAATTACTACAACAGCGTTGATAACACAGAAGACCTTTTACAAAAAAAAAAATACGAATTTTCGGAACAGTTAGGAAGAATAGAGGTCTACCAGAGTACCTGAAAAGAACTAATTTGTAAAAAGGAGAAACAATCTTTCGAAGAAAAAATGATATATTGGTACATGTTTGGCAATCCAAGAAAGAAGTCAGTCTCATTTCTTCAATCCATTCCGTGGAAATGAAAGAAAGTAGTAATGTTGATCATATCAAGAGACAAAAAATTATAAATTTAAATGCATTGATCGACAACAAGTACATGAAAGGAGTAGATCGGGCCAATCAGTATTTGTCCTACTATAGATATTTTGCGTAAAACAGTGAAGTGGACAAAGCACTTAGTTATGTATATGATGAATTGTGCACTTTTCAATGCATATGTAGTATACAATTCGACAAAGACGCAAAAAAATAAAATACCAGAAATTTTTGCACGACATTGGGTTACTGATGAACTACCTGAAATCAGCACTGAAGAACCGGAGCAAATGATACCAAAATGCGACCCTCCTGGAAGAATGTCCATGGATATGCACAAACACGTATTGGAGAAAATTGTTGGTGCCGAGAAGAAGAAAAATCCACAAAGACAACGTCGCGTGTGCGCAGTCAAAAAAGTGCGAAGTGAAACAAACGTGTTTCATATGTAGCTTCTGCTCTGTTCCTCTTCATAGAGGAAAATGCTTTGAACGGTACCATACTGTAAAGAACTATTAACGTGTTATCGGTTCTATTTGTACTTGTTATGAAAAAATATTTTTGAATACATTGTAAAATTTAAAAATCGTTTATTTTTGTGATTTTGTAATTTTTTTTTAAATAATCATACAGTATATATTTAAATGTAAAATAAAAAAAGTTATTTCATAAAAACGAAGTAGTTTTCGATTTACTGCGATTTTCCTGAATAACCATATTTCCACGCGATTCACGAAAAAACGCCCGCTGCACGCGTAAGTTCGTGGTGAAGTATACACGCATGCCAAGTTTTAAGGTGCCATAGAGTCACAAGTGGCTGGTGAACTGCAGTTTGGTCATGCCTGGTATTTAGCATTATATATGCCAGTCAATCAGTAAACAATATCTTGTCCTATTTTACCGTTTTCTAGTCCTTATGTTTTTTACTCTTACTGTAAGTAATGTCACTATAAAAAGGCAGTGTACTGTCAGCTTTGCAAACAAGCTATCTTTATTGAGTCATCTGATTGTAAGAAGCTTGCATTGTGTAACACCAGCTGTTTCTATACAACTGTTTTGCAATGGTTTCTGCTATATAGCTTTGGTATCTCTTTCCTGTCAAAATGCAAAGCTGTTATTAACAGAGAGAAAATGTCCATCAGTTTTTCAGAAGCTTTACCAAGGCATCATTTTGAAAGCTATGCAGACCTGTGGCATGGTACTAGAGCCAATATCTGACATATTTGCTACACTTCTCAAGCAATGCCCTTCTTTCAGCTTCCCAGTTACTCTGCCTTGTGTGAAAAATTAAATGTTTCCTAGTTCATTTGCTTGCAATGTGGTAACATATAATGATGCTCACTATATGTTTGTAATGATCATGCATATTATTAAAGAATTTAGAGAAAATTCTTGAATGTCTGCTTTTATTCATTTTGCACCTCTTTGTCATGTTATCTCTGGTGCCGCAATTCCAAAATGTGCATATGTACGATCTTTCTACTGAAGATCTATATTTTTTAAACCTAAATAGACTTTATTTCTGAGATTGTAACCTTTAAACTTGTATTTTTCTGTAAGTTTTGCATGCTAATTGGAATTATTAAAATACAAATATTGATGTTCAGTGTATAAAATCTGCTTTGTTTTTAACATGAATGTGCTCATATTGTATACAATTTTGTTATTCCACTTTCTCTAAACAGTATCTTTTAGCAACTGTTGTATTGTTTGTACATTTTATAGTTGTTATTTAAAATTTATAATCTTAGTTACTAGATTGCTACAATAACTTAGACATCAAAGTGCACAGAAGGATGGAGTAGGTTATATAAGCAGTAAGTGTGTAAACAGTTTAATGCAAAGTGGTATGAACATAATCGGTTTTTGATAACGGAGGTTGTACAGTTGTTAGGTTATTTCAGAGCAGGAAAGATGAAAAATGAGCAAAACTCGAACCACAGACCTCTCGAATACATGCTGAACGTGCTGACCACTACACCACAAAGGCATGCTAAGCAGACAGGAGAAATACCTTATATACTCCCCTTTTAAAGGGCCACTGAGGTTTTAGGGGACTCAATCGCCAAATCCTAATGGTGAAGAATCATCAATTCACCACCTTTTAGTTCGGGCACCACTGTAGAGACATTAGGTATTTTTTGGAGTAAGAGACAGGAAAAATTAGCAGTGCTCTCGCTGGTACTCAAACCACGGACCTCTCAAATTCGCGTCGAGCGTGCTGACCACTGCACCACGAAGGCATGCTAAGAAGGCGGGAGAAATACCCCATATACTCTCCCCCAAAGGGCGAATAGGGATTAGGGCACCCAGTCACCAAATCCTCGTGTTGGAGAACCATCATCCACCGCCCTTTTTTTTAGCCCGTGTGCCAATGTCTCTGCAGTGGCACCCAGGTAGTGGGGGTATTTTGGAAGCAGGAGAGATGAAAAATGAGCATTGCCTTCGCTGGGACTCAAACCACAGACCTCTCGAATATGCGCCGAGCGTGTTGACCGCTACACAACAAAGGAATGCTAAGCAGGCGAAAGAAATACCTTATAAGGTTAGGAACAACAACATGAAAATTTAGAGCATAATATGAAAGACTGCATAAAGAAATATAGTAAAAGGATTACACAACTGTTTTATATTAAATTTTGAAAATTAATTTCAGAAATTAACTTAGTACATAATTTCTTTTTCAGATCAACATATTAGTGTATAAAAGGCAAAACAGGCATTTTTACTTTCCAGAAAGTACAGACTGTCCAGTGATTATGGTAGGTCCTGGTACTGGAATAGCTCCTTTCATAGCTTTTTTGAAACATCGGTAAGCTACTGCTGTTGCTCCTTAAATTATGTGCTATTTTATGATCTTATTCAGCTATATACCTTGTTTTCCTTATTCCCCCCCCCACACACACACACTCATATAGATGTATACTTCTTTTCAGTGAGAATCTTATGAAAACTCAGAATTCGGACTCAAACTTTGGGAAAACATGGCTATTTTATGGCTGTCGTTATAAAGACAGAGATTTATTATACAAGTAATATTTAATTTCTTCTGAGTGAAAAATAACAATAATTTATGTACTAATACAGGAACATTCAGTTTTCTTATAAAATTAGTAAATTTTGAATATAGCATTTAAAACAGATTAGTGCATTTTCACAGAGAAAAGCAATATATTAATTAAATTGGATAAAAATTTATGTTTAATTATATTGAAATCCTAAACATTTTAAATTTAAATAATGTTTAAGAGATTAAATTTTCCCAAATTTTTTTGCATAAAAATGCAAAAAGATATTTATTAAATAAACGTTCCTTTCTGTAATTGTTTTTCAGTCTGTTTTAATGCATGTCATTTGATGTACTATTATTTATTTATTTTGAATTATTATCACATTCTAGCAAATGGAATTAATTAAGAGCATCCTTTGTTTTACAGGGAAGAACTTGAAAGGTTTCAGTCATGTGGTGCATTAACACATCTGAAAGTTTCATTTTCTAGAGAAACCTCTTCCAACAGTGTGACAAAATATGTTCACCAAAATATTAGACAACATGCTGAAGGTATTGTTGCTGCTGTTAAAGCAGAAGGCAAAATTTTTGTCTGTGGTGATGCAAAGCATATGGCTCGTGATGTACAGCAAGCATTTATTGAAGTTTTCCAGTCAAATCTTGGTAATTTTCTTTTTTATACGAAATGTTCATGGATATATTTTTTAATTATGAGGCAAAATATATTTTCCTTTGTTAGTTAGATGTATTTCTAATGCTATGTGAAATTGACTGAGACAACTCAGATTAAAAAATTAAACATTAATTTTTCAAGGCATAAAATTAAGTTTTTGTCTATTAATGTAATTGAAAATTTCATTTCTAAAGAGTTGCTTACAAACTCCATACTTTTGTTTCCTCTGTTAGTTTGAGAAGAAATCTGTTCTGACTTTCATTTTTAGAATTTGAAATATGTAATTCATATCAATACATTGTATAAACTGCTTTTAAGTTGATATTGTTACTTTTTTAATAAACTTATTAAATTGAAAATTATGAACTTTTAATTAAATTACTGTACTAATCACTTTTTAAATTCAGAATGTCTTTAATTCTGTTTAAATCCATTTTTAAATAATACTGTAAGATTTGATTTTTGTTGACATTATATCTTGTACACAGAAAGTTTCTGAAAAAATGAGGGAGGACTTCATACTTTTCCTCCATTGGCTGACACTTAACTTAGCTTTGGCCACTACTAAGGCCGGAAGTGTTGGCCACTTTATTGTGGAAGCATCTAATAGGTGGGCCACCGTTATCTTCTATCAAGGGATGGATAATTTTACAACCATGCCTTCTCCAGGATTCAAACCCAGGCAGTAGGCTACCCTAACCATTAAACTGTCTGGGCAGCAGTACTTCATATTAAAAAACCATTTTCTTAATTATATAGCTTAATTATTAAAACATTATCAAGCTGTAAACAATTCAATATGTTGCATAAAATAGTTACAATTTTGATTAAATAATATGAGCTGTTCATGGTATTTCATTTCAGTTAGTAACTTTTTTTGCTGATTATTTTTATTAGATTTACTTTAACTAACAAAGTTTATTTTTTCTTGCAGGCTTAAGTTCTGAAGCAGCAAAATCTTTTGTAGAAGAATTACAAAATGATTATCGGTATGTCACTGACATATGGGCATGATTTATTGGCATAAAATATGTCATATAAATGAATGCACATGGAAAAATTTTACATTCATCTGTATTTTAATGCAAATAAATTCAATATTCATTTTTTCCCATTGTATTTGTTGTGACAATAAACAATCTATTTAGGAAGATTTAATTTTGTAAGACAATGTAATTCTTTTCTATTTTTAATTTAATAAAAAATGCTTATCTGCTAAGTTTGTATGAAATATTAACATGAATGAGTAAACAAACAAAAATAGATTTTGCAGATTACTTGTTTGCTTTGCCAGCTGGATCTAGAATGAATGGTTAAAAATTCTTTTTTTAATTGCTTTCTGCAGGGTTATGTACTCACCATTGACATCCAGATGTATGCAGGGTTCGTATAGATTTCTTAAAAGTGATTAAAAAGCCTTAGATTTTTTGGAAACGGTTTTTAGTCCTTAAAGGTCCTTAATTTTGGCTGAAATCGGCAGTGGTCCTTAATTTTACTCAACTGACATTTCTGTGGGTTTTTTTTTTTTTTTTTTTTCCTCCTTCCTATAGCCATTTTGAGTGTGAATCAACCTTTTGCAAGGAATATTTTTTGGCCGTGCTTTGACTGTATAACTGTAGCCATGCATTGCATTTGTAACTCTGGATTAATGTTTAAATTATGGGTGATAATTGATGGGTTAACATTTGAATTCTTTCCAACAATTGAGTTCCTTCCATTCTGAATACAAATGGTGGGTACTTGAACATTAAAAGCTTCAATTGAAACAAACATTCGAAGCAAAAATTTTTTACGAATGAGGAATTCATAAAATATTACATCAAAAACAGCTTTTCCCTTTTTGAGATATGTGTTTTTTATTATGCGGCGCTAAATTCGGCGACTTATTAATATTTTGGCGATTTCAAAATTAGTTTGTATAGAAATTTTTTTATTTAGAGATGTGAAATTTTGTGATTTTTTTTACAAACAAAATAACACATAAATAAATATCATAAAATGATAAAATTATTTTGGGGAAATAGCAATAAAATAAAACATTTTTATTTTCTCCTACCATATTTTACATTATTAGAAATTTTTTTATTCAGAGATGTGAAATTTTGTGATTTTTTACAAACAAAATAACACATAAATAATTATCATAAAAATGATAAAATTATCTTGGGAAATAGCATTAAAACAAAGTTTTTTTTTCCTCCTACCATATTTTAAAGTGATATTACTTTCCATTTTGGTGACTTCAAAATATTTTGATTCTGGAAAATAAACAAGACAATAAATCCTGTAGAGCAGTTTCCAAAACATATCTTAGAAAAAACAAAAATGCTACTGTAATTATATAAAAATTATTTTCATTGGTCTTTTTGATATTTTTTCATATCAAGAGTTTTTTTCCCATGTAATTGTTTCAGAATATTTAAATGGGTATTAGTTTTCCCTTGAAAATTCATTTTAACTTTCTGTTTTCTAATTTTTTCCAAGAATCTTCTGGCTTTTTGCACTTACAGATTTAGTATGGATAATTTTCTTTCAGATTTTAGACCCTGCACCTCAGAAGGTCTAGGTTTAAAGGCAAGATTTAAAGACCTACAGTTTCCAGAAAAATATGATGAAATGAAAAGGGTCCTTATGGTATTAACACATAATTGATGTGTTTTAAAGAAAATTTGTAATAATTTTCTTATCTTTTGGAGAATTTTTGGAAGAAGAGTGAAAAGAAATTTACTTGAATTCTCTTCCTTTGATCCTAGAAGTCTTTTGATATTGTTATGTGTGTACTGGTTCATAATAGATTGAATGCATATATGTCTGATGATAGATTGATAAAATTTACTTTATCAAAAGAAACACTTCAGAGTTCTTGAACTTTCCACCGGAATATTCATTCATGTCTGTTCTGATCAGCAGTTATCTATGTGTAAAAAAGCAACTGTGTGGGGGGGGCAGCAACTAAGTTTCTGTTATAAGTCATGCTTATTTTTTGAATTTGCAGTTTAACTTATGCCACTTGACATAAAATTTGCACATAACCTCTGGATCGAACGAGTTTGTGACAAAATGAGGCATAAAAGAAAGAATCAACATAAAACTAATCAGTTAGTACAATTTAACTAAAAAGCTATTCATCTTCTTTAAAATATGTGGTTCTATTATAAGTGTAAAATATAAATGTTTCAAGAAATTTTATAATTTAATGTTAATTGCTTGAAAAATTTGTGAAGTTAGTTTTACTCTTGAATTTGTTCTTTAAATAAGCTAAATATTAGATCATGTTTAAAAATGCATCCTGCTTACAGATTTATTTTGCTCTTTCAAATTATAAAAATGAAGTTCAGATGTCGCTAATTACTTTAGTTTACTCAGTTCCTATTTGCTTGATAGGTCCTTAATTTTTTTCATCGATTATCCTTAAAAGTACTTAATTTCCATGTGCAGAAGTGTGTATGAATCCTGTGTATGGAAAGTTAAGCCACTCAGACGGTATAGTGGTTTGTGATGCTGACTGCAGTACCAATGGGTCTAGGCTTCAATCCCAGAAAAGGTGTGGATGTTTGTAAGTGCATAGTGTCTGTACAGCAACTGGGCACTCAAAATACATGATAATCCAGAAACCCTTTTGAGTGGTTGCTGGTAGGGGAAGATGTGTGGACACGTCCAGGGGTGTTCTCACTGAAAATTGGTGTGGAGCTTCACAATTATTGAAGTGAGACTATAACTGTACAACCTATGGTGAAATTCTAGTGTCCTGCCCACTTATACCTGCACCTGTATGGAAAGTTAAACGGAAGTTGTCTGTTGCAACATGATTTAGTGGAATTACAAGTGCTGCTCTAATTTTGAGGCTTCTTTTATGCCAGTGTTTGGCTGTGATTTTGGTTCTGTTCCATTCAGTTGTTGAAAGTAGATGCCCAGAAAACTATGTAATTAAAGATGTGCTATTTTCATTGATGAGTTTGTTGGTAGAGAGCTTGTAGATAATCCTCTTTATGCCTGGCTATTTTTGCTGATAATTTTCTAGATGTCAAACCAATGTATTGAGTTCTTGTGTTTGTATTTTCATTGTAAATTGGAATAGTATATATACCTAAAGTGTCTTTTGTGGGAATGCCCAATTTATCTGATAATAACAATTTCCAGGTAGATGGAGCTAGGTTATGCGTGGAATGATTGGGTAGTAAGGGATTGTTCAAATAAATTTACTTTTATGCTGTTCTCCCTTTAAGTTTTTCAACAAAATTGGGTGCATATCTATTGTTTTCTGCAATTTATAGTATAAACATGGTTTCAGTGTGTAAGTCTAAAATATTTTATCTCGTTTTAACAACTAAAATTGATGTGTGAAATTGTGACAACAAAATTTTCTGTATAAATTTATAATTTTGATATTAATGTTAAATGCAATCTTCCTTAACTTACACATTTACTACAACATGATTTTTTGTTTTCAATAAAATAATTATTTAGAAAATAAGTTTCATTTCTCGACCAATATGATCAAGGCACTAGGATCTCTTGAAGAATTTCATTGTGCTACGGCATTTCGAGAGGTCGTCGATAATTTCTCAATGGTATTCAAATCCAGTTTGGCTAACTAACAGAGGTGCAGTGTGTAAAAGTATGCGGGCGGCCAAACTCTTGCGGTGGGTCACGATACCATGCCTGAATATTTTAAATTCATTGTAAGAACTTGTCATATGTAAGTACTTTTTATACAGTTTGTCATATGCAAGTACTTAGTGAGCATGAAATAAAAATTTTATTAATCATCGAGCTTTTTTTTTAATTTGGGGATGACAATTTTAAGAAAGTACACAGGCCGTCATAGGAATGCTGCTGCTGACTACTTCATTTTATTCAATGCATTTATTTCAAAGAGGTCGTCAACAGGTTTACTGGTTGTGAGAAAAGATCTACTTGTTCATTACTTTGTGAAAGCTTTTAAGACAAAATTAATCAAATAATAAAATAAAATAAAATAAATCAAATAATGCATTATTGTCTATAAAAAAAAAGTCTCTCAGAAGTTTTCCATAGATTCTATGTAACATTTTATCTCAATATCTTTGAGAAGATATAAATCATCTGTCAAACATGTGCAGGTAAGTATAATCTTTGATTATTATTTTTGCTATATATCTGCATTGTTGTAAGGGGCATATTTCCTAATTTTGTTGGTATAAATACTTGATGTTTCTAACTCCCTCCAAATACAAACACACCAGAATCAAAAGTTAAAAGAAATTTGAACACATCATTGAAGAGGATGCGAACACGTCATGATAGACTCTTAAGTCTGTTATCTGCATCATTTCTGAACAATGGTGGTTTTTTTTTTTTTTTTTTTTTTTTTTTTTTTTTTTTGTGTGTGTGTGTGTGTGTGTTAGTGAAATTAACTAGTGTGTAAAACTTAAACAAATTTTCTGTTTTTGCCATAATTCCACAGAAATCGACTTTGAGACATGAAATTTATAATACACAATGGAGTACTTAACCCATTAACCGCCAAAACTACAAGGAATGTTTCTTTTCTCATGAAAATAATAACAAATATTAAATTAAGCAGGTATAACATAAATTTACATTGAAAATAAAAAAAAATGCTCTTACCTGTGGAAAACTCAAGTGTTGCGTTCGCGCAACGTCAGCGGAATAAGACTACGGACGTTTAGTGAGTAGGATTGTACTCGTGTGATGTTTCTTTTGAGTGGAGCGCAGGATTACTTTTTAGCTGTATAACGTTTTATAAATCTACAAATCACTTTACTTGTAATTAATTTAATATTAAACTATACATTGTATTTCTTTTACAAATACAGATTATTTCAATTGAAAGATTCAAGCATGAAAAGCTTGATTACAATCATGATGTAAAGCTACATTACATACTTTGCATCTATAAACAGTCTGGCTATGGTACTCTTTACAACAAAGTCTTTTGTTATCAAGGGACTTTATGATTAAATGTCTACCATCTCCATGCAATGGTTTTTGAATGCTGAATTTACTAGGTCTTCCTGTTGCTGATCTATTTCTGGCTAATTCTACACTATCAATAGGAGTTTGCAAAAGGAATAATGCATTCTCGCGTCTGAAATCTAAAAGACACTTTATATTTCCAGTAGTAAAAAGTGGTGATATTTAGTAAGTTTAGGTAC